GCACCCGGAAAAAAATCCACACGACAATTCCAAATATAATAGCATCACGGTCGGGATGGAACCCACGACTTCCTATATACTAGGCGGGGTAGTTAACATCTCGCCACAGCGCCCCCATTCGCTGCAGAAATTGTGCATAACGGTGTAACTTCCGTTTGCTTTCCATGTCCACAAATGTGACCTCGTCCAGCACAGAAAGTGTGTCCTTCAACCCCCCGTTCGGTCACTTATGAGCGCAGCGAATCTTTCTTCCGCGTGTCACGCACTTTGCCTTTCGCCTGGTGACCTGTGTGAATATGACGGTGTGTAACTGCCATTTTATGACGATGTTTACAAAAGCCAACCTCATCGCATGCCCGACCTCATCGCATGCCCGTCGATACCGCCTTCCGCAGCGAGCATGGATAAGTGACGTAGTGCTGCTGTAAATTACAAGTGGGGGAACGCTTCTCCTCGATGGTGGAATCATGGTACCTGCAGTCACACTTTGAAATCTATCACTGATGTACATGTGTTCTGCAGCAGCTCTGTATGTAGTAATATTAATAGTAATGACAAGCACGTTCACTTGCTCACCGCTGTATCACAGAGACAACGTCACGAGGCCGAGGCCTGTGGCGATGCTCCGCTCGCAGATACGGCTAATAACTGTGACTGGTTCCAGGTTTGTGACACAAAATATCACATTATGAATCGTGGGAGCATGTAATTAATTTATTTTTAATCTTCATTGTAAACTCCTGAAAATGTATGAATGAAGGTATCCAGTTTGGGCGGGGCGTTGCCCCCGCCCCGTGCCACCCAGAAAACTCCGCTCATAGGAAACATCATCATGTTCAGCAATAAACCAAAGTGGCTAGTTTTGTCCTATGAATGGAAATGGATGCTGTATGGTGCCGGTTCCTTCTTACACTCGCTGTTTCAACAAAGCGTGCAGAGCCAGCCGCAGCAGCAACCGCATATGAACGCTTGGACCACAAATCAAGCATCACCATCGACACAAATTTGTAACATGCGGATGACCTTGCCCTGGGAACGCAAGCAGTCGCTTTCAACGACGTCGAATTGACTCTGAAACAAGACCTAAACACCATGGGGGAATATTTCCGGAAATGAAGGCTTAAGCCAAATCCTTGCAAAACGACAGTCATTGCATTTCATCTTGATAATTATAGGAGCGCCAAGCGCACTCTGACCTTCTGCGGCAACACTGTGCAACACGACCCCACTCCAACCCACGCGAACCTTCTACGACCACCTGGAAAAGGTGGCCGCCAAAGCAAAAAACAAGGGTCAAGCTGGGGAGCATCAGCACCAGGGCTACGGACATCAACGATGGCCCTTGTGTACTCTGTTTCCGAATACCGTGCACCAGTATAGACCAGAAGTAGTCTCACTCCGCTTGTTGATGTCCACACTGCGATGCGGTGCATCACCGGAACCCTCAAGTCGACCCCAACAGCCTGAGGCTGCCCGTGCTGTCAGCAAATCTCTCCCCCACCCAACCGCCGCAACCCTCCAGGAAGTCCCGCAAAAGGAGGAAAGCAGTCGCCTTCCCATTCATCAGGAGCTCAACGACGTCCCTCGTCATCGCGTGAAGTCATGCCAAGCTCTTTTGAACCGATGAGCTTAAGCTTAAACAACGCGAATTCAACCCCAATGAAGCCTGGAGGGTTGAATGGAGTTAAAAATAACTCACGCACACTTTGTGAAAGACCAAACACAGAATATCCCTGGGTTTGATATTCTACAGAGCTCATGGTCCACCCTGAACCACATCTGCACAAACCATGGCAGTAGATGCAGATACCTGATGCATAAAGGGAGAATTAAAACTACCAACGTGACTTTACCAAAAAAACCTAAGAGTATGAATCCTTGCAGTCACGAAAGCTTCAAATCTGAAATTAAAAACTCTCCAGTGTGTGTGACTGTAGTCATCCAGAACAGACCGTACAACGTATAATGACGCAATGCCCGATCCAAAAATACGAAGGCGACATCACTGCGATGATGATGCACTCCGCTATTCCTCACGCGGTTGTCTGGCTTGACCACCTGAATGTGAAATTGTAGATGTTGCTGTATATTTACATCAGCAGCCATACGAAAGAGAGGCCCTGAAAGCACATATGAGGAGGCGGTGGGAGCGTTGCAGGACTGCAAAGTCCGTGTTTGCCCAAGAGAGTGGGAAGCTGTGCCACAATCTCTTACTCCGAGTGGCACACCCATGGGAACGGGTCACTACCGCAGAACAAGAAAGAACTCTCCGGTATTTTTCCACTTTTGTTCGAGCCCTCCGGAGACCCTGGATCCCTTCAATAACAACAACATCGTTGTTGTCGTCGCAGCAAGCGGGATGAGGAAATACCCCGAAGGTTCCACACATTCCTACTTCGGTATTTAAATACTGTGCGGATAAATAGGAATACCCGTTAAAATCTGAGAAGGTTATTCTACCTGTGATTGCACGTATGGATTAGAAACACGGACGTTGAAAAGTAAAAATGGAACGGATGCTGATGAGTGCGCAAAGGAGCAGAAAGAGATGCACACTCGGAATTGTACTGAGACAAAGAGGAGCACGTAGATTAGAGATTACACACAAAGTTAGAGACATTATATGACCTGTTAACTCAAGCGAGTGAAATAGATTGCAATGCTCACGATGAATGCATCGAAGCGTACATCTAAGAATCGGTGAGTTATAACGGTCGTAAATTATACGCCAACGCAGGCCACTAGAATTAACAAGACAAAACAAGATGGGACAAACGAAACAAAACACGGAAAGGGTTTATGAATCTTATCGGTGTCTCTTTAAGCACAGTTGCCGAGCTCAGGCCTAGAGGCCCGAAACATCGAGCGGTCGGCCACGAACGGCAGCGTCGACATTGTAATAGACAAAGAAATTAACGTGAACCTCGGACCTCGGACCAAAAACAGGAGCCATTGGTGGGGTCGGGCTGGCGGGTTGACGCTTGTGTTGCGCCCGAAACCGTCGTCATTTATTTTACTTTATTTTTCTACCTACGTGACTTTACCGAAAGAACCAAAGAGTATGGATTCCTGCAGTCACGAAAGCTTCAAATCAGGGTTGAATGCCCATCGCAAAGTAAAGGAATTGCCTCTCGAAGATAACCTTCCCTTCTAACTAAAACATCTAGATTGAAAACTCATTTCTTGAGAACTGCTTTTTGCATTGAGTTGTTGTCTTCACGCCCCCCCCTCCTCCCCCTGCCACCGCACCTCCGATGAGCACGGTTGGCTACGTACGGTGGAAAAGAAGTTCAAAATTCCGCAAGCCCTCTCGAGCCGCGAAGGGTCACGTTCTTGAAAACGTTCGTGAATGCAGAAACCTTGTTCCAATGGGGAAAATGGGATTACGTTCCTACTACGAGTGAACACAGGCGAGGGGGAGGAAATGGTAAATAGGGAATTAGTTTACATTTAGTAACTCGCGAACATGCAGAACCGGCGAATCAAAACTCGTCCGAAGCAATGGTTTTACCGTGAATACAAACTAACATCCGTGTTTCGTGCCACAACATGATATGACGAGATCCCCCACGTTACGCGACACAAGAACAAAAGTCCGGAACGAAATCGTGGCTCAAAGAACTCTTTTGCTGTTGTTGCTAAAGTTATACATTTCTGTAAATATTGAACATTCAAAAGGCTCAAAGGCGAATCGTCGAGTCAAAATGTGAATTCCCCCAAACGAGGGGGTGGAGAGAAGCGGTCTCCGTGGTAACGCTCGGTCGCGGCGGCGGTCCAATCGCGTCGCCAGAGACAGACACGTGAAGTTCACTATGAACATCGAGACATTATGGATAGGAATGCGTCACCTATATCAATGCATTGTGTATATATCTTGACTTAAAGCTTTCGTGACTGCAGGGATTAATATTCATTGGGTCTTTCGGTAAAGCCACGTAGATAGAAAAAATAATAAAAATATCACGACATTTCGAAAGACCCAATGAATATTGTGTATATAGATACATTATGAATATCGATGTGATGTGAATATCAATATGTTGTGTACATCAATGCATCATGAATATCGATGTGTTGTGGAGTATATCTATACATTACGAATATCGATGTGTTGCGTATACCGATACATCGTGAATATCGATGTGTCGTGTATATTAATACATTACGAATATTGACGTTCTGTGCATATCGATGTGCTTGTGCATATTGACGAGTCGCGTACATCGATGTGTGTTGTGTGCGCGCGGATGGCAGATCCTCGGTTCGCACCTTAAATGGCGGAAAATGTCCCCGCGTGAATATCGCACGAGCGGAGGAACGCCGACAATCCACGTAAGTCAGCCCCCCCCCCCACCCATAAAACGTGACTCACCGCTCGACACGTTGCCCCGAGGCCGTTAAACTGACAAAAGGCCACGAGTTTCAGCCACATCTTTTACACCCGGTGGCCACAAACTGGGTCGGCTACGTTGGGGGTCGTGTCCACAGGACAGGATTTTTCCACCCTCCAACGGGCCCGTGCTACAACTCGCCGCTGTTCCGTTGAACACGTCATAGGAGGCTTTCACGACCAAAATTATCCATCAGAGGGTTAGTTTTTTTGGGTTAGATCGCGTAAAAATATAAATGTTGTGTCGTTAAACCCGCCACCACCCGACACAGCCAATTAGTAAGGTTTGTCACTCAAACAATGCGTGCCAATTGGAGTAGTTGCTCGGTTAACAGTGACATCGGTTAACGGTTTTTCGGTTAACGTTTTGTCTCCCATAGAAACCCCTCCTGGCCACTTCACAGCCCAGTGCCCGGTGTCTTTAGGAGCTGAGCAAATCTAAGTGATCCATTAACCCTTGCCCTTGAAGGGTTGGATAACAGGTTGACGCTCACCCCATGTATGTAAGAGGGAGACACTCACCCCCCCCCCCCCCCCTTGTAAGTGGGAGACGCTCACTCCGTGTGTCAGTGCAAGACACTCACCGCACGTGTCAGTGGGAAACACTCACCCTGCCGTCTTCATCTGGCACCACAGCAGCAGGGCGTCCTTGGCCGACTTCACCTCCCGGCTGTCCTCCGTTTCCACGCTGATGTCCTGGATCTGTGAGGAGCGACAACAGTGGGCACAACGCATTGTATTCCACCACTCCAACAACAACAACCGCGATTCGCCACTAAGTGGCGGTGACGTCACCACTACACTTGTGCCAGGTTATGTGCACGTTGAGGCCAAGTGAAGTGTCGAACGCCCGCTAGCACGAGGTCACCGGGCAGACTCAGGTTCCACGGGTCGACTGACTGAGATGGCCGGCTGATGCACCACCTGTGCCCCCCGTGACAACTCGTCAACGCACACTCGTCTACACACGCGGCTGCTCGACACCTTTAGCCCAGTCAACTGAGTACAGGCCCAGGTGCCTGCACTGCCGCAGAGATTCAATACAAACCACGGTTCATACAAGGTGACTGGTGAGACACACTCAAAGCACTCTGTCTTGACTCAACATGTAATGGCTCCTTCACAATGCAATGTGAGAGCTGGACAATTGCAAAGACTACACAGCAAACTGTAAGTCATAGAATTATCTTTTTTTTAAGATGGAGGATGTTAAGAATTTCACGGACAGATGAGACAGGTAACTTAAATATATTTTGGATGGCAGGTACAGAAATAATAATTAGAGAATAGTAAAGTTAGATCCCTTGGACATGTCAAGAGAAAACAAGACACTTAATATCATGCTTTGACTGGTACAATTACAGGCACAAGAAGCCGGGGAAGACAGCGAGTTAAGTTACATCATAAGAAATATAAATAATTGGATTGCAACTAGGAGTAAGTATTGCATGCAAAGTTCTTGAGTAAAATCGTGGACAGAGCCAAATGGAGGGAAGGCCATGATCACCGACGTCTCTGGGAAAGGACTTGGCACAGAAAGACTGACACTGCCCATGGACGAACATTGTCCATAGACTTACATTTCCCCATGTAGCCTCAACAGACTTTTGGGGCAAGTGCTGTGAGCGAGCAACTATGAAGGACGGCACGGCACACGAGGGGGTTGGTGGCCAACACCGCACCCGACCGCCTTTGTCTCCCCAGTGGCGATGTTTACTACACATCGCACCAGGTACTCATTTGAGGCTGAGTCGACCTAGGGGAGCGCCAGGACCGCTTCAGATAATCGTCGCTGGTGTTGGTGGCCGTGAGCACGCACACACACACACCAAGTGGTTTAGACCAAGTCCTGCAGCTGAATCACGTCTGCCTATGTAAACACCGTCGCGTTGAGGACCTCGCGAAATGTTTCGGATGCCCCTTGCGGTTATCGACTCGGATACGGAGAGGAATGCCGACTGCGTGGCAATGCGGAGAGTCGAACTCGCAGATTGCGTTGTTTTCCACGGGCATGATTTACGCAATGTATTATTTGACGAGCATTATATGTTACGTATTAATAACTGAATACAAGTGCTTAACAAACATATACAGTTGAAATGCATTTCATTAAATAGAATATTTGTAATGATCCAATTGGCTTCATGGCTAATTAATCAGCAGAAAAAACATCCAGAAAAGGGGGCAATCGTCATACTTCATGAAACTCTGCTCAACTATCCCATTCAGATATATCGGCTGATGAGTCTACTACAGTTGATGTCTCACGTCAAATGATGTTTCTAATCCCTGCTAACGACTCCCGTCAGTGGCAATTCGTCAGCCAGGCCGGCTGAGAGCGATCAGTGTCTCTCCTTGACGCGTCTCTCCAAGGTGGCAAGTACGCGCGATTGAGGAACGAGAGGAGTGCCGTGTGGTTCCAATCTAACTAAACTCAAAACACGTTTTTTTTGTATTTTACCAGGTAAGGCCCACTTAGCTATATAGCTCCTTTTCAGAAGCGACCTGGCAACAAATGACAGCTCAACCAAGTGGCTTATCGCGTGGACATGTATACAAACCAAATAGCCCAAACGCATGCTTATAAATGTGGAGGAAAAACTGGAGGACCCGGAGAAAAATCCACGCGACCACGGGGAGAGAGACACGCAAACACCAAATACACAGCAGCAGGCGTCAGGGTCGGGATCGAACCCACGACCTCCTGTAGACCAGGCAAGGTAGTTAACATCTCCCCGTACCCCTAATTCATTGTTAATCAGGACACTGGACCTCGAGGCAGTTCTCGGAACAGTACGAACGACTCAATAGGAGTGGATCAAAGAAGGGAGAGTAGCCGTTACACAATATGCCCGGCTGTAAACAACGAGTGTGTCTATGGAAGAGCTGTGATGTATATGGCCGCGGGTGGGGCTATGCACGTGGTCTGTAATCCAGCACTGTGGAGGCAGCGAGGGTTGGTGGATCGCACAAATGTTGCGAAACTCCCGTCCCGTGGGTGGGCGTCGAGGGGGAGCAATGTCCTGGCTCGCCAGGAGAAGGCAGTACGTACAAAAAAAGTGATCTTCACCTGTTCCGCCTGAATGGGAAAGAGTGTTTCCCCCTTGCATGCGTGTGCTTTCTGCGGGTGTTATGGTTTTCTCACTGTCACACCGATGTGCTAAAGTAATAGCTAATTGGCACGTTTTGTTCAGGTGACAAACCTTACTAATTGGATATGTGGTGGTGGGTTAACGACACATTTATATTCACGCGATATAACCCAAAAACCTTTATTATGAATAACATTGGTCGTGAAAGCCTACGTGTTAGATGTCCTCCCAGATTCCCACTCGTCTGCGGTTCCTCCTTGCGTCTCTGAGTCGTGTTACAACTTGAACGTTATGATTGTTAGAATGCTGAATACGATGGAGAGCGTATTGCTGTGCTTAAAAATAAAAAATAAACACTGCTGGAAGCAGTCTGCTAATCTGCCAATTAATTCAGTAAAGTAACATTTTAATTTTTCATTTTTTCACATTCAATTGTTCCCATTGCCATGTTAAAGCAATGGGTTTATTATCCGGCCGGGGGGGGGGGGGGGGGCACTGTGGGCAGAGCGCTTGAATCATGGGCCGGGACCGGTCGCGGATCGAATCATTGCTGATAGACTGAGCGCCGTTTTTTTGCAGGAAGCCATAACAGCGGGTCGTCCCAAGTGAATGTGGAATTTCCTCAGGACTCGTTTTTTGAGTGGGAAACACTCAGCAATGCAGCTGCTACAGCGGAACGACATCTGTTGAAGATATGTGTCATCACGCCGCTTATTGATGCCAGAAATAAGAGTGCCATCCCGTTCTTATTATGCAAAGCACCAAAATTTGCATGCTTGGCTACATCCGGGGCTAAAAAAGTTCAACATACATACATGCATATGTAGCTGGTATGGGCTTAATGTAATGACTGGCGTTAATGTAACTGCACAGTAGGCCACGCCCATCAGTGGAATAATCAATTAAGGGCAGAGGGCATCTATTCAGATTCGGATGGACGCTGTACAGGTGAAGTATGGGAATTGACGGCAGGAACTTCTTGACGGGAACACACTTTTATTAAATCTTTACGTATCAAAATACAACGTGTAGTCTCCTTTCTTCCGACTTCACACTCCACTACTCTCGTGTAAACTCTAGGCCTCTGGCTACACACGATACCCTTCACTCGTGTAGACCCTACGCCTCTGGCTACACAATACACTGCATTCGGCTCGTGTAGACCTTACGCCTATGGCTACACACACTACACTCGCCTCTGGGTTACACAGAGTCCCGGTCCCGTTAGGACAGCGGGACTAGGTACCGCAGGGCCCTAGGTCTTCATCCCCGTCTTCATTCTTCGCTGGTTACACACTGCCCTCACGCCTGTGTGCATCCCCTTTTATAGCCCCTGCTCACGAGAGGCGGAGCTGATGCGTACTTCAACGTGAGCATCGCTCCTTAATGAACCAATCACGACGCACTCTCTCTACGATCCGTTTTCCCCAGCGCGTGTTAACACTCCTCCACCAATCACACCGCGCTGCCACCCGATCACTCCCTCTCAGCACGTCACCCGTCCACAGCCAATCAGTACCCCGTAACCCACGACCCCGCGCTGACCCCTGATCCTCCACCGTCAGCGCACGTCACCACCTACACAGCCAATCATTACGCGCTGGCATACGATCTCTAATCCCAGCGCGTATCACCTCTACACAGGGATTGAGCAGTTAGGTGCTGTGTAACGTGAGCTCTATTGGTGTGCATCTGGTCATATTTACAGACGCACGAATACTCCTCAGAAGAACACTTTGAAATAACGAGTGGCCGTTCCACAACCCTCTGGTGTCCCTCGGTGGCGGAGTCACTCGACCCTCAAGAAGAGGGCAGAACACAATGCAGAGTATCCGCCCATCGCCTCCGAACTCGTCTATTGTTGTCGTTTTTATTAGCCGGCCTGTCCCCTCGTTACGGTCACGGGAGGAGGGGTCTAGGGCGAGCCGGTTCCGCGTACAAAAGCAGCGACGCGGCACTCGAAGTGCGAAAGCAACGCCGTGCGTTAATGGACGGTAGCACGTCCACAGTGCACACTGCAGGCAGGCTGTGCGCGTTGGTCTGCAGCATACGCGTGGGCCGGCTGTCGTGGGGCGCGCCATCTCTGGGAACTGTGAACGCTGTCGCTCTGCCGTGTCTCGCCTCCCGCCGACAGCCGCCTGCTGAGTTGCGCTGCCCATTGTTCACGTGCGGCCAAGTTAAATATAGACGCATTGTCTCTCGGGGCCTGAGGTATTTAGCAGTGCACGTAAAAAACAAGAAACACGGAACGTTATTTAGTGCTTGCTTTTTTGTGAAGTCTACTGGGGAAACTGAAGTTAGTGGGGCTATTGTGTGGGCCCGAGATAGTTAAAACGTGATGTTATTCTTGGGGTGTATCCATGGAAAAAACGCACGGTTGTCCATACGTGCCGGTTTAGCGGAATCTATGAATCACAATTTTCATCAAATAAATCAAGGAACACACGCTGTGAATAGAAATACACGCTTATTGGTGTTTCCATCAAAGTTGAGTAATAGGCACCCTCGTGTATTTATGGCTCCAGGGGTAGAGCGTCAACCACGCGGCCTCGTGAAGAGTGCACGCGCACCTGATGCATTCTCATCACCGGGGACATTCCCCCACACGGC